GTAATAAAAGTAATTGTCCTTTAGACGGTCAGTGCCAAACAGAGGATGTTATTTCTTCAGCGGAGGTCAGTGACGTTAATGTTTAAAAAAATGAAAAATGAATGCTGACCAGAACGAAACTTAGGTTTCAAACTTTTGGGAATATTGTATTGGGCGCTTTTTTAGTTGTTCATTTTCCTACACGTTAGAACATGTCAATTTTATCGACAGATATAATATGCTTACATTTCAGATTATGTGTAGAGAATGAAAGTTTAAAATTACTTAATTCGTATAAATTTTGCATTCCTATGAAAATGATTATAAGGTGCATTTTAGACACTAGATGCCTCGCAAGCAACAAAGATATGTGTTGTGTACAGTGAAGGTGCTTTAGCTGAGAGAACTGTACGGAAGTGGTTCTCTAAGATTAGAATTAGTAATTGTAGCACTTATTGATGAAGAATACTCAGGCAGACCCCCACCTACAGATGACAACCAAATCAAGACATTGATTGAGAATAACCCGTATTACAAAACGCAGAAATTGGCAGAAACACTAAATTTATAAAAAAAAAAAACACCACCCATGAGCATCTAGTGAAGTTTGGGTACTCAATTCGCTGATGTTTGGGTACCACATGATGTGAGTGAAAAGAATCTTTTGGGTCGCATTTCATCTGAGAAATAAACTCAATAAAAATGCACCCTTTTTTAAGCAAATTCTGACGCGTGATGAGAAATGGATCGTTTACAACAATGTTCAACGAAAAAGATAAGCTACATGAGCCAACTTTAGCCACTTCAAAAGCAGGTCTTCATTCTAAGAAAGTCATGCTGTGTATCTGGTGGGATTGGAAAAGAATCATGTACTATGAGCTTCTGACAAGTAACCAATCAATTGCTTCAAGAAAAAAAAGCCCAGAATTAGCGAACAGGAAAGGTGTTATTTTCCATCAGGATAGTGCCAGACTTCACGTTTCTTTGGCGACCCGGCAAAAATTGCTGCAGCTTGGCTGGGATGCGTTACCCCACCCACCATATTCACCAGACATTACTCCTTCGGATTTTCATTTATTCAGGTTCTTGCAAAATAATCTCAATGTTAATTTTGTAATTCTTTAGATGACGTAAAAAAAAACCTTAATGAGCTCTTTGCCGAGAACCCGCCAAAATCCAAAGATGGAAAAATGGACAATGGTTCATATTTAGTTGAATAATTATTTAATGGCATAATTTTGTTTTGTATTTTAATTTCCCTTAAAAATCGGCATGAACTTTCAGGACAACCCAATATATATATATATATATCAGCCGAGCTGGAATTTCAGTCGAATTCATTACATTAACTTATGTGCTAATACCCTTAGGAAAGGTGTGAATCCTCTTCTTCTCCCTCCAGCTATGGGTAAATAACAGGACAGACTGGGTTCTATAGACTTGGATGGCAGCTGGTCTAGGAGAAGGAAAACTCTGAATTCAAAACTTGCGGAGGGTCCTTTGGAGACCTTGTGGCACACGTTGCACCAGATCTCTGTATTCGTCCCTTCAAAAAAGTGGATGGTCCTGCACGAAACCTTCACCACTATAATCAAATCTCATCTGCTGTTGTCGAGCTGTCGGTTTCCTAGGAACTGATCTGCTTGTCCCTCATACGTCGAATTCGACAGGAGAAAAGTATATATATATATATATATATATATATATATATATATATATATATATATATATATATATATATATAAACTTATTATTATTATTATTAATAGAAATACTCGCTCGGAAGACCTTCAGTGTGTTGATTTGCAAATAAACAAGCCAACACCAAAGGGAAAAAAGGTATAAAAAAGAAAGAACCAAGAACATGTACGTTAACCGAAAATAATCGGTATACGAGTTCAAGGCCAAAAGAAAAAAAACCCGATGCAGTGAGGCAAAATAACTAAACAAATGCTCAGTACAATGAGTAGAAAGCAGACCTAGTTAAACCTAGAAACCAGACAAACTTACCAAGGTTTCACCTAAGCGGATCATCAGGGAAGGTAGCGTTCTGACGATCACGATCAAAGCTTTTAATGAAACTTTCTCTAAATTCTTTCTTCTCTTATATATATATATATATATATATATATATATATATATATATATATATGTGTGTGTGTGTGTGTCTGTGACTCTGTGCTTGTGATACGGATATACTCAAGACAGCAGTTTTGTGTACAGATATTCTTATAGTGTTAATTAAACTTTAGAAATACGAGCCTTTTAATAATTTTCTCGGTCAGATGAACATGTTCTGGTTGAAGTAATTTCCAGTAATGCCAGCAAAAGGCGTAGATATTAACCTTTCAAAATCGATTCATTTCTGTTTTGTAGAAAACATTACAACAACAAAAACTCCGGTACATTCGGAGGCTGTTACAGCGTACAAGATTATGCGTTTTGATTTTTGCGAAAGGTTTGGGAGTAAAAGTACTCTCCTTCATTTGTCATTCAGTTTGAGATGCCTTTCTGGTTCGGGGTGAACGGGAACCAAATTTGCGTGCCATCTTTTTTTTCTTTTTTTTTTTTGTCTCTTTTCTTGCTTTTCTCTACTCGAAAATTGAATAAACAAACCAACAATTCGAAAGAGAAGACGAATCAATAATTCGATACGCTAGAAAATGGCTATCTTCACTTATTGTTGAATCAAATGGGGAGGAGCGTAGAATTATGTGAGTGGACGTAGTAAATCAAATACAGTACTCAATAGTAATCTTCACGCAGATTAACACGATAGCTATTAAATCTGCTGAGGCGTCCTTAATCTGTTTACTAAGATTAGTTTAATTTTGATACAGGCTTCCAAGAATGGGCCACCCAGTGAGGATTAAACTCACTGCTCAATAGTAATTGTCATCAGATTAACACGATAGCCATTAAACCTGCTGAGGCGTCCTTAATCTATTTACTAAGCTTAGTTTACTTTTGGTACAGTGTTACGACAATGAGCCACTCAGTGAGGATCAAACTCACTACTCAGTAATCTTCACGGAGACTAACATGATAGCTATTAAACCTGCTGAGGCGTCTTTAATCTCTTTACTAAGATTAGTTTACTTTTGGAACAGGGTCTCAAGAATGGGCTACCCGGTGAGGATCAAACTCTCTATTCAACAGTAACTGTCAAGTTGTCTATCATGATAGCTATTACCCACACGCCGAGGTAACCACAATTATGCATATTTATTGCTCTTCATACAAAGGAGTGCCAATGAATTCTCGGCGTAATACTTTTCCCAAACCTAACCAAATGCCCGATCATCATAAATTTTGGGAATGGCTTCTTAGTCGGGCCGAGAAATTTTCGGCTTCTCATTTTATTTTATATACGTTCATAAAGATATGTTTGGTGGTACAAAATTCCATCACTGCCATAAAAAGACAAAAATTAGTTTTGTTATTACCTTTCATGATAATAAAAAGTAAAAATGAAAAACGAGCTAGCTAACCGGTTTCGAACCTCGCTTAACAGAACTAAATCGAGGTAAATAGAGTAAATTATATAATAAAAAAAAGAAAAGAACAATGGACGAAGTTTATTGGTGGAAAAAACTCGATTTAGTTCTGTTGAGCGAGGTTCGAAACCGTTTAGCTAGCCCGTTTTTTCATTTTTATTATCATGAGTGGTAATAATAAAACTAATTTTTGTCTTTTTAAAGTGATGAAATTTTGTACCAACAAACCTATCTTTATATATATATATATATATATATATATATATGGTATCAAATAACAATTGGAAAAAATCATACATTTGCCAACGCATTTCGTCTTCCGACTTTTTCAAGGCAAAAATGAAATCGAAATGTTTTTTGTTGTTATAGTTACATTAAAATTAAAAATTAAAAAGATAGACAACATGTTTTGCCGACGAAAAAAGGCGGAAGACACAAGCGTCGGTCTGTTTGATTTTTTTTCCAATTGTATATTTTCATTATTTGATACCAATCTGTCTTAATCCACAGAATTCATCTAGAATTTAACTATATATATATATATATATATATATATATATATATATATATATATATATATATATATATATATATATATAAATGAAATATTGGGTTGTCTTGAAAGTTCATGCCAATTTTTAAGTGAAATTAAGATACAAAACAAAACTATGCCATTAAGTCTGGCACTATCCTGATGGAAAACATCACCTTTTCTGTTCCCTCAATTCTGGGCTTTTTTCTGGAAAGGCTTTCTGTAATTCATCCAGTTGTTAGCAGTGCTTTTCAGAATCAATTGAAGCTCATAGTACCGGAATCCTTTTTAATTGCACTAGATGCACAGCATGACTTTCTTAGAATGAAGACCTGCTTTTGAAGTGGCTAAAGTTGGCTCATGTCGCTTATCCCAGGATCTTTTTCGTTGAACATTGCTGTAAACGATCCATTTCTCATCACCTGTCACAATTTGCTTAAAAAAGGGTGCATTTTCCTTGCGTTTATACGGTAAATCACAGATGAAATGCGATCCAAAAGATTCTTGTGTAATACGGGTTATTCTCAATCAATGTCTTGATTTGGTTGTCATCTCTAATGGAAGGCGGTGAGGGAGGAGGTCTGCCTGAGCGTTCTTCATCAATAAGGCTACAATTACCAACTCTAAACTTAGCGAACCACTTCCGTACAGTCCTCTCAGCTAAAGCACCTTCACTGTACACAACACATTTCTTTTTTGTTGGTTGCGAGGCATTTTTGCTTTAACGGTAAAAAAATAAAACAAAAAAAAACGAAAAACATCAAATGTCTAAAATGCACTTTATGGTCCTCCATTTTCAAAGGGATGCAAAATTGATACGAATTAAGTAATTTTAAACTTTCCTTCTCAAGAGCTAGTTTGAAGTCTGCTCTAATCGGAAATATAAGCATATCTTTCGATAAATGTGATGTGTTCTAACGTGTTGGAACATGAACGACTAAAAATCGGTATGACTTTCCTGATAACCCAATACAAGGGGCGCTCCGGAAGTAATGCCTCCTTTCAGCAACCACTTTTTATACGTATATATGCAAATAGATTCTGTTATTTCTCTTGTAAGTTTCTGATTTTGATTATGTTTAAGAAATCTTTATTTTCGGTATCTAGCCACCCCCAACGAGGGTTGCATGTGGCACAAGGCCGAGTTTATCGTGGGTTTCCCGAGCCCGTAGGCTCAGCCAAAAATGCCCGTATAACCCGCATAAACGAGATCGGGTTGGTCATTCTCCCGAACGAGATTCTGCCCTTTGAACCCGGAATTCTGCCCTTTGGCGGAATCTCGTCCGGGTTCCTTTCTGCTCAGAGGCAGAAAGTTCGACCGTCAAGTCGAGAAGCTCGGCTTGATTTGAATACTTTATTTTCACTTACAGATATATTAAATTAAGAATACATACATGCATATATATATATATATATATATATATATATATATATATAATTGCATAATGAATAATTTCTTAACATTATACAATTATATTTTGTTTGAAAAAGATTTTCGCTAAAAATTTATTGTCATATACTGAAAAAGTTCATAGTTTTTTAAATTAGTTCAATATTACGATTTGTTTGACAAAGTTTTATTATCATTAAGGTTATAGTTTACTGAACTGAAATAATTATAGATTTTTGAAGTTATTTCTTATATCATTGAAGCTTACCTAAAGAGGATAAATATGACTAAATTTTTAGGCAATAAAATAGATGAATTCATTTTCTTTACCATTAAATCCGTGAGAAGATGCATAATTTTGTTAATACTGGTATCAGTATCGATATTCAAAAAGTATCGCTATTAATACCAATACTAGAAAGTTCGATATCGTAAGCATCACTAAAATATGCATATCTCAAGGGATGCTCCGAAAGTAATGCCGCCTATTTATTTCAGCAACCCTTTTTTTATACGGACATATACAGATATACATATCTCTAAAATACAAGGAGCGCCTCCTATTTATTCCAGTCCCCACCCCACCCCACCCCGTTTTTATTCGTACATATACAAATATACATATTTCTAAAATGACGGGGTGCTCCGAAAGTAATGCCTCCTATTTATTCCAGTTCCCCCGTTTTTATTCGTACATATACAAATATACATATTTCTAAAATGACGGGGTGCTTCGAAACTAATGCCTTCTATTAACTTCCAGTCCCCTATTTTTATTCCTACATATACAAATATACATATTTCTGAAATGACGGGGTGCTCCGAGAGTAATGCCTCCTATTTATTCCAGTCCCCCGTTTTTATTCGTACATATTTCTAAAATGACGGGGTGCTCCGAAAGTAATGCCTTCTATTAACTTCCAGGGAAACTACAGTAGGTTCAGCAAGTACAATTACGCCGTTGGAGAAAACAAGTTTTCGGCTTCAGAATTTCAACACCTTAGTCACCGTCATTACTTAGGCATTGACACATTCACCCGGGACGTATTTTGTTAGGGACGTCGTATTTTTTAAAAAAATGCAATGCCCCATTCATAGTCCCACACAGAATCCTTTTCGTTATTATCTGCAAATTGTCATGGCTTCTTGGGAAATAGATTGAAGTGGCTTCCCGTTGCTTTTTCCACAGTTGTGAATCCACAGTAGTCCTTCTTCTAGGCTGTCTCCCAACCAAGGCTAAAGAGTCCCGTCTCTCTTGAGGTTTGACCATTACTGTGTTAGAAAAGAGATAGTCATGACTTTCCCAAGGTTATTAGTGCAAAAGTGAACGCAATAGACTAGACCGGAATTTGAACTCGGCTCCCCGACATCAAATGCGCGTCGATAGGCGTTAAGCTACCCGCATACGCAAAAAATGAGGTTTCAAGATCTGAGCAAGCGGATATGCATTCTTCAACAGGGTAACTGAATCTGCTTGGATTGGACTGTAATGCTCTCTGTGGCCGAGTAGTTTAAAGCACGCCGGTAGTGGGGGTTGATTTGCATCTTGTCGGAGAGGAGATAAACTTTATTATGTCACTCGAATGCGTAGGCCGGTAATTTAGCTTATTTATAAAAACGCGACGTTTACTCAAAAATAAAGCACTTTTTACCACTAAAATAACGTTTGGAAATAGTGTTAGATTTTTTTTAAAAAATCCATTGATATCTTTAAAAATTACTTTACGCTCCGGATATACTAAAACGCTCAAAAATTACCAACGACAGCATATGTCTGAAAAACAGAAATCAAAAATGACAACAACTGAAAGAAAAGAGGAAAAAGAAAAAAAAAACAGAGTGAGTGTAAACTGAAAAACAAAAAGACGTAAAGGACAAATAATCACGACATTCTACACGTACGCACATCCGCGCAGACGAATGCATGGGCGCCCGAGCGCTAAAGCACTCATAAACTATATATATAAAAAAAAAAACTTGTACCAATGAAAAGTGCATATAAAAAATAAAAATCGAGACGTATAAGCAGTCAGTTGCAGGTACCCACTGACGAGTGGACGGAACAATTCCCGGAAAGTTCCTCTACGAAACTCTGGAATCGGGATGTTGAAGGTAACATCAGTCAGCTATGTGACAAATCTTTTACGTGTATTAATTATGCAGGGTGGTAATATAAAGTCACTTTACAATAACTTACAATAACAATTAAGACAAAGCAATTAATCAACAATCCAGAAATTTATTATTAAAATGGTTCTGGTTAATAACAATAAAATGATATGGTAAGTAATAATGAATTAATTACCGATACTGTTCGAAATGTAAGCCACTTGCTTCAATCCATTCCTACAACATCAGATGAACTGTATAGTGACATTATTGCCACCATATATATATATATATATATATATATATATATATATATATATATATATATATATATATATATATATATATATATATCGGCACCGTTGCGCATGAAACTCACAGCTGTGCTACCAGTGACGAAAAATATATATTTATTATTAATATATCAATTACATCTTTGTTATTATACAGCGAGCATTATTTTATTAGCACTAGAACCCAATTTGCGATATGTCTGTGTGTGTGTGTGTGTGTGTTTGTCTGACGATCGCAAAAGCGTGAAACCAGGTCACAAACTCATCAATCCAACCAAATATATATATATATATATATATATATATTTAAAAAGATATTTTGTAGGTACAAAATTTAATGATCGAAATAAAAAGTATAAAATTTAATATTGCAAGACATATTAAAACAGTATTAAATAATAAAAAAAAAAACTCAACAACAAGGGGAAGCAACCGGTTTCGCTCCCGCTCGTCAAACTTCCACAGGAGATTGAAAATTAAAACAGAGAAATGTACAGTAAGAATAGGTGGAAAAAAAAAAAAAATATATATATATATACATATATATGTGTGTGGTTTTTGCTTCCCCACCTTGTTATTGAGTTTTTTTTTTTTTATACTATTTTATACTATATATATATATATATATATATATATATATATATATATATATATATATATATATATATATATATATATATAGTTTTAATTTAATGCTATATTTATGGGATAAAGTGCTCAATATTAGAGATAGAGCGTATGTAAATCTAAATATAAAAGCTTCTAATGCTCTGGACTGAGCGGCTTGGGGCTAGCAGTTGTAGCTCGTGGGGGCACAGTCCTATGGGTAAAGAGAAACGCGGATGAGTTCCACTACGGAATATGTGATCGAGCGTGACTATATCGCCTCTACCTCTTCGTTGGTACAGTTGGTATGGCGTTTGCCTCCTATCGTAACTGTTCGGGTTTCAATTCTCGGTAGTGGATACGCACTCCTGACGTATCCCAAATATCGGACGAAACGGCCGTCCAGTGCTTTCTGCATTCTGTTGAGGTTTCTTCTAAACTCGATGAATTACTTAATTATAAATATAAAAGTGAACACTAAAGTCTACACTCAGAGGCGACAGGCTGTTTCATGAGAGACGCAATTCTCAGCGCGCGAGAAGAATCCATAGAATATATATATATATATATATATATATATATATATATATAAAGAAAAATATACGGAAAAAACAAACAAAAATCCTAATATGCAATTATGCTGTTTTAATGTTAATATAATGTCAACGTCGGGCGTTTCGGTCTAGTAGACCATCTTCAGAAAACATAATTAACATTAGCCTATATTTAATTCAACATATGTTGCATATTAGGATTTTTGTTTGTTTTTCCATATATTTTTCTTCATGCTGTCGGATCTATATCCATATATTTGCTTACATATATATATATTCATTCTATGAATACATCTCGCGTCGTGAGACAACTCATGAGTATTCCATCGACACATTACCGATGAGTCCTTTTTCATTTAGTTTCGCAGAATGACCTGCACCTGAAATTTATTAAAGGGAGAAAAGTTTGTGCATTCCCAGCTGTCTTGTCCAATGCCCGCCATCTGCTTTCTGGTGCAAAGGCTGCCACTAGATAAGCGACACGTGCAAGGATGTAGGTTATATTTCGGAGTGACCTTCTCCTAGATAGGTTGCCTTGCAAGATTTCAGATTCTCTATCTGACCATCAAGTTTTGCCTCCAGACCGATTTTGAATTCAGAGTTTTTCATTTTTTTAGCACGTAAGTGAATGTAATGGATCCGACTGGAATTCGAACTTTGCTCTCCGATTCCGCAATCCGAGCCGCTATCAATTACTTCACTATGTATGCGTGCGTGTGCGTGCGTATGTGTGTTTACGTATGCATGTTTGCGGGCGTGAGTGCTTGCGTGAGTGAGTATGTCAGCTTAACATACATTTCTTTCTTTCTAACTTTCTTTATTTCTTTCTTTCATATGTTTCTTTTACCCTTTCGTCAGCCATTTATTTCTGACCTTCTTACTTTCAATCTTTCTTTTTTAACCTTTAGGAAATTTTTTCTTTCTTTCTAATCTTTCCTCGTGTATTTCTTTCTGACTGTAGTGTCTTCCTTCTTTCTCTCTTTCTTTCTTTCTCTTCGTTCACTTAACTTTTTTTTATCCTTTCATCAAATTTACCTTTTATCTTTTTTGTTCTTTGTTTTTACTTTTTACTTTTTACTTTCCACATTAAACAAACTTTTCTATCCTTTTTTTTATTTCTGTTTCTTGTTTGTTTGTTTGTTTTTACATCCACCCTTTTTCGTTTTTTACTTCTTTTCTTTTTCTTTTACCCTTTTCTCAGTCATTTCTCTTTTTCTTTCTATCACTCGTTCTTTCTGTATGTCTGTCGCTCGTTCTTTCTTTCTTTCTTTCTTTCTTTCTTTCTATCTGTCTGTCACTCATTCTTTTTTTCTATCGCTCGTTCGTTCTTTCTTTCTATCTGTCTGTCGCTCGTTCTTTCTTTCTTTCTTTCTATCGCTCGTTCGTTCGTTCTTTCTTTCTGTCTTTCTTTCTTTCTTTCTCTCTGTCTGTCACTTTTTTTTTCTATCTTTCGTTCGTTTTTTTCTTTCTATCTGTCTGTCGCTCGTTCTTTTCTTTCTTTTCTTTTCTTTCTTTCTTTCTATCTGTCTGTTCGTTCTTTCTTTCTTTCTTTCTTTCTTTCTTTCTCTCTGTCTGTCTTTCATTCTTTTTTTCTATCGCTCGTTCGTTCTTTCTTTCTATCTGTCTGTCTTTCGTTCTTTCTTTCTTTCTTTCTTTCTTTCTTTTTTCTTTCTTTCGTTTTCTTTTCTTTCTATCGCCCGTTCGTTCGTTCTTTCTGTCTTTCTTTCTTTCTTTCTCTCTTTGTGTTCTCATTCTTTTTTTCTATCTCTCGTTCGTTCTTTCTTTCTATCTGTCTGTCTCGTTCGTTCTTTCTTTTCTTTCTTTCTTTCTTTCTTTTTATCTGTCTGTCACTCATTCTTTTTTTCTATCGCTCGTTCGTTCTTTCTTTTCTATCTGTCTGTCTTTCGTTCTTTCTTTCTTTCTTTCTTTCTTTCTATCGCTCGTTCGTTCTTTCTTTCTTTCTTTCTTTCTTTTCTTTTTTCTATCTGTCTGTCCTCATTCTTTTTTTTTCTATCGCTCGTTCGTTCTTTCTTTCTATCTGTCTGTCGCTCGTTCTTTCTTTCTTTCTTTCTTTCTTTCTTTCTATCTATCGTTCGTTCGTTCTTTCTTTCTGTCTTTCTTTCTTTCTTTCTATCTGTCTGTCACTCATTCTTTTTTTCTATCGCTCGTTCGTTCTTTCTTTCTATCTGTCTGTCGTTCTTTTTTTTTTCTTTCTTTCTTTCTTTCTTTCTTTCGTTCGTTCTTTCTTTCTGTCTTTCTTTCTTTTTTCTCTCTGTCTGTTCTTTCTTTTTTTCTATTCGTTCTTTGTTTTTCTTTCTATCTGTCTGTCGCTCATTCTTTTTTTTCTTTCTTTCTTTCTTTCTTTCTTTCTATCTGTCTGTCGTTCGTTCTTTTCTTTCTATCTGTCTGTCTTTCGTTATTTCTTTCTTTCTTTCTTTCTTTCTATCGCGTTCGTTCGTTCTTTCTTTCTATCTTTCTTTCTTTCTTTCTTTCTGTCTGTCACTCATTCTTTTTTTTTTTCTATCGCTCGTTCGTTCTTTCTTTCTATCTGTCTGTCGCTCGTTCTTTCTTTCTTTTCTTTCTATCTTTCTTTCGTTCTTTCTTTCTTTTCTGTCTTTCTTTCTTTCTTTCGTTCTTTTTTTTCTATCTTTCGTTCGTTTCTTTCTTTCTATCTGTCTGTCGCTCGTTCTTTCTCTTTTTCTTTCTTTCGTTCTTTCTTTCTATCGCTCGTTCGTTCTTTCTTTCTATCTGTCTGTCTTTCTTTCTTTCTTTCTTTCTTTTTTCTATCGCTCGTTCGTTCGTTCTTTCTTTCTTTCTTTCTTTCTATCTCTGTCTGTCACTCATTCTTTTTTTTTCTATCGCTCCTTCGTTCTTTCTTTCTATCTGTCTGTCGCTCGTTCTTTCTTTCTTTCTTTCTTTTCTTTTTTCTTTCTTTCTTTCTTTCTATCGTTTCGTTCGTTCGTTCTTTCTTTCTGTCTTTCTTTCTTTCTTTCTCTCTGTCTGTCACTCATTCTTTTTTTCTATCGCTCGTTCGTTCTTTCTTTCTATCTGTCTGTCGCTCGTTCTTTCTTTCTTTCTTTCTTTCTTTCTTTCTTTCTTTCTTTCTATCGTCCGTTCGTTCGTTCTTTCTTTCTGTCTTTCTTTCTTTCTTTCTTTCTCTCTGTCTGTCACTCATTCTTTTTTTCTATCGCTCGTTCGTTCTTTCTTTCTATCTGTCTGTCGCTCGTTCTTTCTTTCTTTCTTTCTTTCTTTCTTTCTTTCTTTCTTTCTTTCTATCGTCCGTTCGTTCGTTCTTTCTTTCTGTCTTTCTTTCTTTCTTTCTTTCTTTCTTTCTTTCTCTCTGTCTGTCACTCATTCTTTTTTTCTATCGCTCGTTCGTTCTTTCTTTCTATCTGTCTGTCGCTCGTTCTTTCTTTTCTTTCTTTTTCTTTCTTTCTTTCTTTCTTTCTTTCTTTCTATTGTCCGTTCGTTCGTTCGTTCTTTCTTTTTTCTTTCTTTCTTTCTTTCTCTCTGTCTGTCACTCATTCTTTTTTTCTATCGCTCGTTCGTTCTTTCTTTCTATCTGTCTGTCGCTCGTTCTTTCTTTCTTTCTTTCTTTCTTTCTTTCTTTCTTTCTTTCTATCGTTCGTTCGTTCTTTCTTTCTGTCTTTCTTTCTTTCTTTCTCTCTGTCTGTCACTCATTCTTTTTTTCTATCGCTCGTTCGTTCTTTCTTTCTATCTGTCTGTCGCTCGTTCTTTCTTTTTCTTTCTTTTCTTTCTTTTTTTTTCTTTCTTTCTATCGCTCGTTCGTTCGTTCTTTTTTTTTGTGTCTTTCTTTCTTTCTTTCTGTCTGTCACTCATTCTTTTTTTCTATCGCTCGTTCGTTTTTTTTTTTCTATCTGTCTGTCGCTCGTTCTTTCTTTCTTTCTTTTTTTTTCTTTCATCGCTCGTTCGTTCGTTCTTTCTTTCTGTCTTTCTTTCTCTCTGTCTGTCCTCATTCATTTTTTTTTTCTATCGCTCGTTCGTTCTTTCTTTCTATCTGTCTGTCGTTCGTTCTTTTTTTCTTTCTTTCTTTCTTTCTTTCTATCGCCCGTTCGTTCGTTCTTTCTTTCTGTCTTTCTTTTCTTTCTTTCTTTCTCTCTGTCTGTCACTCATTCTTTTTTTCTATCACTCGTTCGTTCTTTCTTTCTATCTGTCTGTCGCTCGTTCTTTCTTTCTATCGTCCGGTCGTTCGTTCTTTCTTTCTGTCTTTCTTTCTTTCTTTCTATCTGTCTGTCACTCATTCTTTTTTCTATCGCTCGTTCGTTCTTTCTTTCTATCTGCCTGTCGTCGTTCTTTTTTTTTCTTTCTTTTCTTTTTTCTTTCGCTCGTTCGTTCGTTCTTTCTTTCTGTCTTTCTTTCTTTCTTTCTTTCTCTGTCTGTCACTCATTCTTTTTTTTTTCTATCGCTTTTCGTTCTTTCTTTCTATCTGTCTGTCGCTCGTTCTTTCTTTCTTTCTTTCTATCGCTCGTTCGTTCGTTCTTTCTTTCTGTCTTTCTTTCTTTCTTTCTCTCTGTCTGTCACTCATTTTTTTTTTCTATCGCTCGTTCGTTCTTTCTTTCTATCTGTCTGTCGCTCGTTCTTTCTTTCTTTCTTTCTTTCTTTCTTTCTTTCTATCGCTCGTTCGTTCTTTCTTTCTTTCTTTCTTTCTTTCTTTCTATCTGTCTGTCACTCATTCTTTTTTTCTATCGCTCGTTCGTTCTTTCTTTCTATCTGTCTGTCGCTCGTTCTTTCTTTCTTTCTTTCTTTCTTTCTTTCTTTCTATCGCTCGTTCGTTCTTTCTTTTTCTGTCTTTTTTTTTTCTCTGTCTGTCACTCATTCTTTTTATCTATCGCTCGTTCGTTCTTTCTTTCTATCTGTCTGTCGTTCTTTTTTTCTTTCTTTTTTTCTTTCTTTCTTTCTTTCTATCGCTCGTTCGTTCTTTCTTTCTGTCTTTCTTTCTTTCTTTCTCTCTGTCTGTCACTCATTCTTTTTTTCTATCACTCGTTCGTTCTTTCTTTCTATCTGTCTGTCGCTCGTTCTTTCTTTCTTTCTTTCTTTCTTTCTTTCTATCGTCCGTTCGTTCGTTCTTTCTTTCTGTCTTTCTTTCTTTCTTTCTATCTGTCTGTCACTCATTCTTTTTTTCTATCGCTCGTTCGTTCTTTCTTTCTATCTGTCTGTCGCTCGTTCTTTCTTTCTTTCTTTCTTTCTTTCTTTCTATCGCTCGTTCGTTTTTTTTTTTCTGTCTTTCTTTCTTTCTTTTTTCTCTGTCTGTCACTCATTCTTTTTTTTCTATCGCTCGTTCGTTCTTTCTTTCTATCTGTGTCTGTCGTTCTTTCTTTTCTTTTTTTTTCTTTCTTTTCTTTTCTTTCTATCGTCCGTTCGTTCGTTCTTTCTTTTTTCTGTTTTCTTTCTTTCTTTCTTTTCTCTCTGTCTGTCACTCATTTTTTTTTTCTATCGCTCGTTCGTTCGTTCTTTTTCTTTCTATATGTCTGTCGCTCGTTCTTTCTTTCTTTCTTTCTATCGCTCGTTCGTTCTTTCTTTCTTTCTTTCTTTCTTTCTTTTTCTCTCTGTCTGTCACTCATTTTTTTTTCTATCGCTCGTTCGTTCTTTCTTTCTATCTGTCTGTCGCTCGTTCTTTCTTTCTTTTTCTTTCTTTCTTACTTTCTTTCTTTCTTTTCTTTCTATCGTTCGTTCGTTCTTTCTTTCTATCTGTCTGTCTTTCTTTCTTTCTTTCTTTCTTTCTTTCTATCGCTCGTTCGTTCGTTTTTCTTTCTGTCTTTCTTTTTCTTTCTTTTTCTTGTCTCACTCATTTTTTTTTCTATCGTTCGTTCGTTCTTTCTTTCTATCTGTCTGTCGCTCGTTCTTTCTTTCTTTCTTTCTTTCTTTCTATCGCTCGTTCGTTCGTTCTTTCTTTCTGTCTTTCTTTCTTTCTTTCTCTCTGTCTGTCACTCATTCTTTTTTTCTATCACTCGTTCGTTCTTTCTTTCTATCTGTCTGTCGCTCGTTCTTTTTTCTTTCTTTCTTTCCATCGCTCGTTCGTTCGTTCTTTCTTTCTGTCTTTCTTTCTTTCTTTCTCTCTGTCTGTCACTCATTTTTTTTCTGTCGCTCGTTCGTTCGTTCTTTCTTTCTATCTGTCTGTCGCTCGTTCTTTCTTTCTTTCTTTCTTTCTTTCTTTCTTTCTTTCTTTCTTTCTTTCTATCGCTCGTTCGTTCTTTCTTTCTATCTGTCTGTCGCTCGTTCTTTCTTTCTTTCTTTCTTTCTTTCTATCGCTCGTTCGTTCGTTCTTTCTTTCTGTCTTTCTTTCTTTCTTTCTCTCTGTCTGTCACTCATTCTTTTTTTCTGTCGCTCGTTCTTTCTTTCTTTCTCTCTGTCTGTCACTCATTCTTTTTTTCTATCGCTCGTTGGTTCTTTCTTTCTATCTGTCTGTCGCTCGTTCTTTCTTTCTTTCTTTCTTTCTTTCTTTCTTTTTTTCTATCGCTCGTTCGTTCGTTCTTTCTTTCTTTCTTTCTTTTTTTCTTTCTCTCTGTCTGTCGTTCATTCTTTTTTTCTGTCTTTCGTTTCTTTTTTTCTCTGTCTGTCACTCATTTTTTTTTTTCTATCGCTCGTTGGTTTCTTTCTTTCTATCTGTCTGTCGCTCGTTCTTTCTTTTCTTTTCTTTCTTTCTTTCTATCGCTCGTTCGTTCGTTCTTTCTTTTTCTGTCTTTTTTCTTTCTCTCTGTCTGTCGTTCATTCTTTTTTTTCTTTCTATCGCTCGTTCGTTCTTTCTTTCTATCTGTCTGTCGTCTCATTTCTTTCTTTCTTTCTTTTTTCTCTCTGTCTGTCACTCATTCTTTTTTTCTATCGCTCGTTCGTTCTTTCTTTCTATCTGTCTGTCGCTCGTTCTTTCTTTCTTTCTTTCTTTCTTTCTTTCTTTCTTTCTTTCTTTTTTCTATCTTTCGTTCGTTCTTTCTTTCTATCTGTCTGTCGCTCTTTTCTTCTTTTCTTTCTTTCTTTCTCTTTCTTTCTTTCTTTCTTTTCTATCGCTCGTTCGTTCTTTCTTTCTATCTGTCTGTCGCTCGTTCTTTCTTTTTCTTTCTTTGTTTCTATCGCTCGTTCGTTCTTTCTTTCTATTTCTTTCTGTCTTTCTTTCTTTTTCTTTCTTTTCTCTGTCTGTCGTTCATTCTTTTTTTCTATCGTCTCGTTCGTTCTTTCTTTCTTTATTGTCTGTCGCTCATTCTTTCTTTCTTTTCTTTCTTTTCTCTCTGTCTGTCACTCATTCTTTTTTTTCTATCGCTCGTTCTTTCTTTCTTTCTATCTGTCTGTCGCTCGTTCTTTTCTTTCTTTCTTTTCTCTGTCTCACTTTCATTTTTTTTTCTATCGCTCGTTCGTTCTTTCTTTCTATCTGTCTGTCGCTCTCGTTCTTCCTTTTCTTTCTTTCTTTCTCTCTTTCTTTCTTTCTTTCTTTCTATCGCTCGTTCGTTCTTTCTTTCTATCTGTCTGTCGCTCGTTCTTTTTTTCTTTCTTTTCTTTCTATCGCTCGTTCGTTCGTTCTTTTTCTTTCTTTTTTCTTTCTTTCTTTCTCTCTGTCTGTCCTCATTCTTTTTTCTATCGCTCGTTCGTTCTTTCTTTCTATCTGTCTGTCGCTCGTTCTTTCTTTCTTTCTTTCTTTCTATCGCTCGTTCGTTCGTTCTTTCTTTCTGTCTTTCTTTCTTTCTTTCTCTCTGTCTGTCACTCATTCTTTTTTTCTATCGCTCGTTCGTTCTTTCTTTCTATCTGTCTGTCGCTCGTTCTTTCTTTCTTTCTTTCTTTCTCTCTGTCTGTCACTCATTCTTTTTTTCTATCGCTCGTTCGTTCTTTCTTTCTATCTGTCTGTCGCTCGTTCTTCCTTTCTTTCTTTCTCTCTTTCTTTCTTTCTTTCTTTCTATCGCTCGTTCGTTCTTTCTTTCTATCTGTCTGTCGCTCGTTCTTTCTTTCTTTCTTTCTTTCTATCGCTCGTTCGTTCGTTCTTTCTTTCTGTCTTTCTTTCTTTCTTTCTCTCTGTCTGTCTTTCTTTCTTTTTTTCTATCGCTCGTTGGTTCTTTCTTTCTATCTGTCTGTCGCTCGTTCTTTCTTTCTTTCTCTCTTTCTTTCTTTCTTTCTTTCTTTCTTTCTATCGTTCGTTCGTTCTTTCTTTCTATCTGTCTGTCACTAGTTCTTTCTTTCTATCACACGTTCTTTCTTTCTTTATTTGTCACTCTTTCTTTTTATGTTTCTTTCTTTCTTTCTTTCTTTCTTTTTCTGTCACTCGTTCTTTCTTTCTTTCTTTTCTTATCATTTTTCTCACCCGTGAAATTCTCACTCCATCTTCTTTCATAATTTATAAAATTATTTATCCACACTCGTTTGGAATCCTTTTCAAATTACTACACTCATCCTCCTCCCTAATAATCTATATTTTCCTCCATTTCCCTCTTTTCTTTTATTCGTATTTTCCGCTATTTTTTTTAAATATTCTTCTTGTTTTTTTTTTTTTTTTTTTTTTCAGACATGATTCTCTCCTTTCTTTTTCTTTCCTCCTCCTCATTCTTCCTCTCATATTTTTCCTTTTTATCTCTTGCTACTTATCTTTCCTTATATTTCTGGCTTTTCTTTTTCTTCTTTTTTTCTGACTTACAAATTCTTTTTTCGTGTTCCTTGTCCGTCTTCCACTCTTTCTTCTATTACAATACTCACGACTTTTCACAAAAGATCCGTCTGCCCGCCCATTATTCAAATCAGTGTAGAAAGATAAGAAAAAAGAATAGTTCCATATTTATGAATAGCCTCGACTTCAAAAACGTTGTCACGTGTCTGAAATTGATTTCGATTTTTTTTTTTTTTTTTTTTTTTTTTTTTTCCTTAATTTTTCTTTCCTTCGTTTATTTGTTGTTTTTTTTTTTTAAATACTTTATTTATTTATTTATCGAATTTCTTTGGGATTTATTTATCAGATTTACGTTATTTTCATTTATTTATTTTTTTCCCATTTGAGCAATTCCTTTTATTTTTTTTCTTCATCTCTTTCTTCTCCCACATTTTTTAAATATCGTCGAGCAGTCTTTGTCAAATTTCCCGACTTTTATCATTTCCCTATCGTTTCGGGATCTTTTCATAAAATTAATTAGCTTTTCTCTCTAATTCTTTTCGTTTTGCTTCTCTCTTAGATTTTCTTTTTCTTTTTCCTCTTTCTTATTTTTGATTATTTATTCCCATCACCTCTTCCTTTATATCGTTCAATCTTTTTTTAAATACATTATATGTTTTTCACTTTGTCAGTTTTCTTTTACTTCTTTTTCTTTCTTTCTTTCATTGCTATTTGACAAGATCACGCTTACTTTCTTTCTTTTAAAATTATCCTATCTTTTATTCTTTTTTTCCTTACCCTTTTTAATAACACTTCTTTTCTTTCTTTCTTTCTTTCTTTTTTCTTTTTTCTTTCTTTCTTTTTTTCTTTTTTTAAAATTATCCTATCTTTTATTCTTTTTTTTCCTTTTTTTAATAACACTTTCTTTTTCTTTTCTTTCTTTCTTTCTTTCTTTCTTTTCTTTCTTTCTTTTAAAATTATCCTATCTTTTATTCTTTTTTTCTTTACCCTTTTTAATAACACTTCTTTTCTTTCTTTCTTTCTTTCTTTCTTTCTTTCTTTCTTTCTTTCTTTCTTTCTTTCTTTCTTTTAAAATTATCCTATCTTTTATTCTTTTTTTCCTTACCCTTTTTAATAACACTTCTTTTCTTTCTTTCTTTCTTTCTTTCTTTTAAAATTATCCTATCTTTTATTCTTTTTTTCCTTACCCTTTTTAATAACACTTCTTTTCTTTCTTTCTTTCTTTCTTTCTTTCTTTCTTTCTTTCTTTTAGAATTATTCTATCTACTGTCCTGTTTTTCTTACCCTTTTAACCACACAGCTTTTTTCTTCTGTCTGTCTGTCTTTCTTTCTTTCTTTTAAACTTATTCTTTATTTTATTCTTTGCTTTTCATTCCTTCCCGCACCCACTCTTTCTCTCTTTCTTTTAAATTTATTTTTTCTTTCTTTTTCATCCATTTTTTTTCTACCGCCCCATTATTTATTCATTTTTTCTTTTATATTTTTTACTTTTCTTTGTTTTTTCATTTTTGGATTTTTATTCATTTTTTTCTTTCTTTTCTTTTTCCTTTCTTTCCTTTTTTCTTTTTCTTTCCATTTTATTCTTTCTTTTATATTTTTTACTTTTGGACATATTTTTTCCTTTACTCATTTTCATTACTCTTTAATATATTCACTCATAATTTCTTTCTTTTTTCTTTCTTTCTTTTTCTTTCTTCCTTTTTCTTTCTTTTTTTTTTCTTTTTTCTCTTTCTTTTTCTTTTGTCATTTTTGTATCTGGTTTTTCTTTTTTCTCTATACTTATCTTTTTTTCATTAGTTTTTCTTTTATTATTCATCTTATCTGCATTTTATTTTACTTGAATTTCGTTCGTTCTTTTTTTTTTTTTTTCGTACGTACTTCGATGTTTTTAATTATTTTTCTTCATAACGCTTTCCCCCCTTATTTTACCCCTAACCCGTATCCTTCTTCTAGTTTTTTTTTCTCTTTCCTTTTCGCATATTTCTTTTGTCCAGAACTTTTCATTGACAATACTTTTATATACACTAACTTTTTTTTTACTCGTTCGCCATCAATCATTCACGCGGTAAAATTGCAATCTTGATAAAGAAAGAAATAGAGAATATAAAGGAAACAATGACCACAAGAAAATAGAATTGTGACGTTGCCGAGTGAAAACACCAATAACGAACAAGTATTGGATTTCAAGAACGGAAGACAATGGAGGAGGAGGAGGAGGAAAAGGAGGGAGAGGAGGAGGACGACGAGAGGAGGAGAAGGGGAGGGTGTGAAGAGGTGCGTAGACGAATGAAAAAAAGATATCTTCATAAGTAAAATAAATGAATAAAATAAATAAATAAAGATAAAATAAAAGTAATATTAGGAATTCATAATAAAAATTCCTCCAATAAGACCTGCCGGTTACTTTTGGTGTAAATAATAATAATAATAATAATAATAATAATAATAATAATAATAAAAAGACAGCAAAGACGAATGCAACCGACCAGATACAGAAACAATGGCAAGATAAACCGCTTCATGGCCAATACTCTGCCCGTACCAAACAAGCTGACGTAGACAAAACCCGTACCCATCAGTGGCTACGTAGTACAGGGTTGAAAGCTGAAACTGAAGGTTTTATCCTTGCTGCACAGGACCAATGCTTGCTAACTAGAAATTATCAAGCACATATACTAAAATATTGTGTAAAGACCAAAATACAGATTCTGTGATAAATATCCAGAAACAATTGATCATCTTGTATCAGGTTGCACGATATTGGCACCCACTGAATATAAAACCCGGCATGACAGAGTGGGCCAATATCTGCACTGGAAAATATGCAACTTCTACGGAAACTAAAAGAAACTGGTATGAACACAACCCAGACCCGGTTACGGAAATAGGACCTGTTACAATTCTATGGGACTACACAATACACACTGACAGAACAATCAAAGCCAACAGCCCAGATATTGTTATTAAAGACCACAAACAAAAAAAAAGATGCCTCCTTATTGATATAGCAGTCCCTGCAGACTGCAATGTATCTTTAAAGATATTCAAAAAGCTGTCAAAATACAAGGACATTGAAATAGAAATCTCAAAAATGTGGTACATGGGAACATCAACAATCCCTGTTGTAGTTGGAGCTCTAGGATTGGTTGGAAAAGATTCCAGTAGACTAATTGAAGGAATTCCTGGGAGTTCATGCCTCAAAGAAATTGTTCTCACAAGTACAGCCCACACTTTACGAAGGGCTTTATCTATGTAGTTTTTTTTTTTTTTTTGTTAGTGGAAAGTGTCATGATGCCATTTCTAACCTTAGGTCCCTGGGCGGGAGCCGGAAAGAAATGTGTACACGCCAGAAATCAAAGGAAATAAAATAATAATAATAATAACAATAATAATAATAATAATAATAATAATAATAAATAATAAATAATAATAATAATAATTAATAAATCGGACATTATTGTCAAAAACCAGAAAGAAAAACTTGCCTACTAATTGATATGGCTTGTCCAGCGGATTGTAACATAGCAACCAAGGAATTTGAAAAAACTATCAAAATACAAAAAAGACCTGGAAATTGAAATAGAAAAATGTGGAAATTGAAACAAGAATAATACCAGTGGTAATAGGTGCACTTGGAATTATAAAAAATGGAACAAAACAACACATTGAAAGAATCCCTGAAACCCCAGCTTAAGAGACATACAGAAAATTGTCTTATTTACAGCACACACACACTAAGGAGAACTTTTGTCATGTAACGCTAGCAACTTCATCGGAGATAAAAAAAAAAAAAAAAAAAAAATTAAATGCTACACGACCTGCCTTAGGTCTTTCCGCAGACTTGGTAGGTAGTGTGTCCATAGCAGAAATCGAATGATAAAATGATAATAATAATTCTGTTTATCTTTCCATTCGTTAGTTTGCGCAACCGCTGCGCCCTGAAAATAGACTATTCCGTTTTGATTGTGTAAAAACACGAAAATGACATATCAGAGACGCTACTTGGTTTCAGTGGGAAAATGAGCGAAAGAAAGAAAGAAAGAAAGAAAGAAAGAGAAAAAAGAAAGAAAGAAAAAAGAAAGAAAGAAGTGTTTAAATTGGCAAAAACTAACAGACGCCGTTGAACATTTAATGACGTAGCCATTATTTGATATGATGGCTGTAAGATGTTTAAAATCATCTGAGGTATGCCTCTTGAAGAAACTCATACCAATTTTATCTCACTCCTGTTGAAAAATTGCCTTAAGATTGCTCTAGTTTTTCAGATTCCTCTGATTAAATCAAAGTTTATGCTTCATCAACAGATTTCCTATAAGATTTAGGTCAGCCTACTGACGAAGCCACTATAAGCCTTATTTTCTTCGTTTAAAACCGTTTTTTCCTATTCGCCGCAGTAACTTGCAAATCTTTATCTTCCAGAAAAATACTCTAATCTCTTGATAGTTTGAGAAATTTCACAGATGTTCTCCAGTATTCCGTGATACATAGCACTATTCAATGTTCATTCGAAAATATGGATGATTTCAGAACACACCAGAAAATAAAGTTGTAATAAATTTATTTAATTCGCCAGATGAGATTTCTGTCTTAGAGTCTTGATGCCTGGAGTGAATTTTTACCCAGGTACTCTATTTTTAACAAAAAATAAATTAAATCAGGATGTATTACAATTTGTACGTTGCCACAAGCTGAAGGAATATTTTTTCGAAAAAAAAAATGGTGGTGAAAATTCTACAACAATTACAACCAACAACAATAAAGATAGCGATCGAATCTGGCATAATTGTTGTTTTTTATCTATCCTGTTATTCAGAGGAAGTTCAAGAAGAAAGATTGCACCTGTTACTAGAATTTTTGGAAGCCTGGTATAAGGGAGAATGTAAGAAAACCTGGAAAAACCTTATCACTTCGCTTTTCGTCGTCTCGCCAATGATGATTTGATCGTTATCAAAATGGCAGACAATAGAGGCGCCATTTTTAATATGTATAAGGAAAATTATATTTCGGCTTGTGAAGATGTTTTAAGAGACAAAGGATTTTTTTTTATGAAGAAGTAAAAATAGATCCGAATTCTTATTACGGAAAAAGACTATTTATGAAATACAAGGAAACAATTTCATCAATGAAACTGAATCTGAAAATTGTCGTTAAGAACAAAGACCATCAGTTTTTTACGGCTTTCCAAAAATACCAGAAATTTAACAAATTCTTCCACTACTTGGATTTTTGTGAATATGAATGTTGCACGACAAAAATCTGAATGACCAGATGTTTTTTTCCAATTCCCCATAGCAAAACGGTCATTTTCTTATGTCCTGAACACATTTGTCTTGATTTCTAAAATCAATAAATTATCAGAAGGAAAAAAAGTATTTTCATAATAGCTTTTTGGTCAGCATGGATGTATCACCTCTTCATCGTAACACTGATCACGATGAAGGGATTGAGACATGCGACAAAGCATTTGAGAAACGCGAAAACAAAACCATTCCGTCAAACTTTCTTTGCAGACTTATAAGGTTTACCTTGGAAAGCAACACGATGAAGTTTGGACAAAAATTTTATCATCAAAGGATGTCCAATGGAAACACCCATAGCCGTTAATTTTGCGAATACTTTCATGACAAACTTTGAAGAAAAAACTATTTGAACTTTCAAATCTCAGCACGGCCATGAACGCTTACTTTGTTTGTGATTTATAGATATTTCCTTCATGTGGAAAGGTATACAGAAAATTTCTACAATTTTTGCAGAAAAGCATAATTTTCGATCACATATAAAATTTAAACTTTCTTCAAAGCTGGGGGTGAATTTTTAAACACTAGAATAAAGTACTCAATGATTAGTCTAATGACCGAACTATCTTGCAAGCCTACCTTATCACATATGCATCTTCACTGACGTTTTGATCATCCTTATTATACGATAAAATCACAGACGTGCCGTCGCTTCCCTCTGTCTTTTCTACAAGTACTTTCACGGTAACTGCCCTGACGAGCTATTTTCGCTGGTTCCCAAACTGCATGAATTTAAGCGTGCTACTAGTTTGGCATCTCAGTCCCACCCTTTCACTGCCGAAACAGTTAAATGTAACCGTCTCTTCGACTCCACTAGCTTCATGTCTCGCACTTCCTGTCTGTGGAATTCCCTTCCTCTTACTTGCTCTCCTGACAGTTATAGTCTTCAAATATTCAAATGTAATGTCGATCGACATCTTTTGATGCCTTGATCTAGTTCACCGTCATTCTCTTCATCCTTTCCTCTATCACGTCTCTTTACTCTTGCTCCCACTTCTCTGTAACCCCTTGCGTGCTAATGGCACTTCCGCCTTGCTCGTGGTGAAATGCTTAAAAAAAAAGAAAGAAAAATAACAATTTTTGCGCATAAGGCGAATTTGTACGAAGATAAAAGATTATTGGAAGCATGCAAATGATTTCATTTGGCATTATGTTACGCGGGGGCTATCAAGAATCGCGCTTGAAACAAATTGCGAAAATGAAGAAAAAATAACCGTAATTTTAAACCTTGTTAAAACACCGAAAAGCACAATCAAAATCCTGCCAGCATCCCATTAGTCAAATTTGTCTGGGATTTCGGATGTCAGCTAAGAACACATTACGCAAAGATATCCGCCTTTTAAAGAAATTTTTTCCCAACCCACCGATAGTTTCTTTCAAAAGAATCAGACAATTGTTAACAAATGCATGCGTCCACATTCAAAACAACATTGGAGTTTCTGATCGCTCTACCCCCGAAACCCCCCACAGAAGAGAAAAACCCTGTCCGTTGTGCCGCAACATGTGTCAAGTTAATTCTATCACAAATTCAAAGAGAAACATCACCATTTCTACAGAGGGTGGTAATTGTACTGATTCCCATTTAATATACACCTTTCAATGTAACAAATATCATAATCATCATCATAATCGTATTAGGGTTATACAAAATAGTAAGGGGTGATTGTTATTATTATTATTATTATTATCATTTCGATTTTAGGCACTAGAGTAAAGTTGTTAAGAAAACGTCTAATGACCAAATTATTTTGCAAACCTGCGTCATCAGACATTTACCTACCTCGCTGTTCTGATCATCTTTACCACACCATAAAATCAAACCCGAAGTGCCAATTTTTACGGATGAGTCGAATTTGCACGGAGATAAAAGATTATTGCAAGTATGCTAATAATTTCATTCTGCATTATGTTAATCGGGGCTATCAAGAATCGAGAACAAATTGAAACAAATTGCCAATGAAATAATTCAAAATGAAAATTACCATAATTTTATCCCAAAAAACAGAATCAAAATTTTGACAGAATTCCATTAGTCATTAAATGGCACCGCTATGAACACATTGCGCAAAAATATCCGCCTTTTAAAGAGATTTTCCCAACCCAACTATCATTTCTTTTAGACGAAATAAAAACATCAGATAAATTTTTCCAAATTGCAAGCGTAATTTCAACGAACATCTTATAGTGCACATTCTAAAAAATATTTAGAAAACAACCGACCTTGCGACCCTTAAAACGCATGAGGATAGAACTGTATACAAACTATTAACTCCCTACGCCCGGAGGAATGAACTAAATGACAGGAGAGTTCCATAGAATTTATTCTAAGCCGTGGTTACATACTGAAAAATTGTGTTAGCCCAAAATACAGATTCTGTGATAAATATCCAGAAACAGTTGACCATCTTGTATCAGGTTGCACGGTGTTAGCACCAACTAAATATAAAACTCGACATGATAAATTGGGCCAATATCAGCACTGGAAAATATGCAACTTTTACTAGAGGGAAACTGCAAGAAACTAGTATGAACACCACCCAGACCCGATTACAGAGATAGGACCTGTAACTTTGCAATACACGCAGACAGAACAATCAAGGCTAATAGCCCAGACATCATGATCAAAGAAAAGAAGAAGAGAATATGCCTTCTTATTGATATGATACAGTCCCAGCAGACTGTAAGGTATCTTTGAAGAGATTCAAAAAACTATCAAAATACAAGGATCTTGAAGAGGAAATCTTAAAAACGTGACACATGGGGACTTCAATAATTACAGTTGTAGTTGGAGCCCTCGTATTGATTGGTAAACGTTTTGATAGACTCATTGAAGGAATTCCTGATAGCGCTTGCCTTAAAGAAATACAAAAAAAATGTACTCACAAGTACAGCTGACGTTTACGAAGCGCCTTATCTATGTAAAATGTGTGTAATCTTAGGCTTTTTTGTGGGGGTGTTTCTTTTTTTAAAAAAAATGATCAGTGGAAAATGTCATGAAGCCATTTCCGACCTTAGGTCTCTGGTTGGGACCCAGAAGGAAAATGTGTATAAAATAGAAATCAAAGGAAATAATAATAATAATAATAATAATAATAATAATAATAATAATAATAATAATAATTTTGTAACCTAGGGAAGGTTACTTAATAGAATAATCAAACGAATGTTGGTAATGGACGATAATACTTAGGACAAGAACAACACATATAAGATTTGCCAGCGGTGTGTAGAAGTAGTCAAGTGAATTCCACAATGAATCTCCAACTGGAGAATATCTATCAATCGCACCACGCGGTCAGATGTGAAACAAGGCCGAATTTAATGTGGAGTATCCGAGCCCGTAGGCTCGGCCAAAAATTCCTCGTATAAAACAGGGTCGGGTAGTTGTTTCCCGAAACGAGACATAGCCTCATCTGGGGATCCTCTCTGCCCGGAGGCAGAGGGTTTGACCAGCACAGCTAGAGACGAAACTCCAACTGCAGACCAACATACAGTATTTACTACTGTGTTTATGTGAATGGCGATATACCCGTCTGTAGGTATGCTACAACAACAATAATAATTTTTTTTTTAGTTTTCGTTTTATACAAAAATGAAAAATACAGTGGAAAATGTCATGAAGCCATATCTGACCTTAGGTCTCCGGTTGGGACCCCGAAGGACATGTGTATAAAACAAAAACCCAAGGAAATAATAATAATAATAATAATAATTCTGTTATTAATTTGGTATATTTTTCGTTATTTGCCTATCAATAGTATGAGAGGTACGTGAATTCTATTCTGCAGGTTATTTAAAGCCAGAAAATAATTTTAGATTGTACGAACTTTTTTGAGGGGGAGTAATAAGGATTTACTGATACAAGTCCTACTAATTAACCCATAGTTGGCGGAAGAGAAGAGATGGATTCATATCTTCCCCAAGAATGTTTTGTGCGTGAATCTAACGAACTCAACTGGAATTAAAACTCGGCTTTCCGAGTTCAACTTCCGAGCCGTTAACCATTACACTATCCGTGCATCCAAACTTACAGCACCTGGTATTCCCAAGTGGTCACTTTTCTACATACTGACAGGATTCGACGTTGCTTAACTTCGCCGATCGTAAAAGAATCGGCGTTTCAACGTGATACGGTCGAAAGCGTTTACCAAACTAGAAGTTATCACAACGTTAATAATGGCAGGTCAGTCAGGCGCTAGCTTACGACTTTACATTGATCATCAAAGTCGAAAGTTGCGCAAAGACCTTTGACCTATTTTATCTACTTTGTATCAGGTTGAGTCATAAATGATTTCCGTTTGTCTTTATCCAATTTATTCTTTATCTTCTTTAGATCGCTTCAAAACGCTTTGATCGCGGAAAATTTTCTCTGAGGAAAACCAAAATCAAGAGTTCGTCGAAAAGTCTTTTACATCAAGACATGCTGATCTTTGGTCAAAAAGTATCAAAGACCCGTCCGCAAGTTTATGGCTATATCTGGTTGTAACACCGGTTTCCGTACGATCACCGAGGTTAAGCAACGTCGATCCTGGTTAGTACCTAGATGGGGAACCGCTTGGAAATATCAAGTGCTGTAAGCTTGGGTGGGCGGGTGGTGTCATGGGTAATGGCTCGGAATTGTTAAGTGGTGGGCCGGGTTCCAATTTCAGCTTGGTTTGTTATATTCACTTACGCGTAAATCACTCTTGGGAAATGTATAAAATGACCTCTTTTCCCCGAACCCCGAGAAATAAACCATTACATTTTAGTCATAAGTAATCTCCGTTTTGTTGAACCAATTTTAATGGCGAATGTATCATCTTAATTCCTCATCATCCGGGGCAGTTAAGAATACATTTGCCTTACACTAACATACAACAAAGTCTGATGCAAAAGGCGGTAGATTTACAAGGATAAATTTCTGCGACCACATCACCCCTTACATCTGACCACCTAACCCCCCTTGATTATTATGTGTGAGACTAACATTATTCCTTGTAACACCATTAATTCTTTCATATATATATATATATATATATATATATATATATATATATATATATATATATATATATATATATATATATATATATATATATATATATTTTAACATACAACGTGTGTTAGCACGTTCGATACCCTGACTTCATCAGCCGCCGACCAGGGGTGATCTCACGGTTTCGGTGGCTATGGCGGGAAACCATATATATATATATATATATCATAAAATATAGTTCTAAAATATGTTATATTTATGATTATATTTTTAATTTCGCACATGCTCGTTATTTGTTTTGTTTTTTATTGTGTTGACTTTAAAGTATAGTAGGGTCAGTTGGGCACCGTCTGTGAGAAAAAAAAGCCCCCATGACGAAATTCACTTCGCCAGAAATTTAGAAACGGCATGCTGTACTGTTTGGCATTCGTGCCAGAAGAAACAATATGAAAATTTCAGTGTGTTTGGCTGTCAATCTGTGGACAGTGCAGAGGATTCAGAAAGAGTTGGATGAGTCTAATGGTGATTACGAAAGTGTTTGAATTTGTCACTAGCGATGACGACGTTATGCTTTCATTCATTTTCCAACAGGGCCTCAGACTCAACACGGAAGCCTACATCGTCCTTTGAGAAGATAGAGCTGCCCTGAGTCAAGAGGGTGGCTGCTGGAAGACCCTATGTCTGGCAACAGGATATTGCACCATGACACACAAGCAGGGGAACCCAATCATGGCTGTCAGACAATTTCTGCGACCACATCACCTCTTACAGCTGGCCACCTAACTCCCCAGATTACAAATTCCTGGTCATTAATTTCTAAACATGGGGTGCAGTTGAGCGAGAGATCAACAAAACTCCTTTTAGCACCAAAGATGAACTGAAGACAAGGATTATTTCTGTATTCACCAACTTAAACAAGGAGACCGTCCAAAAGAGTTGCAGGAAGGTTCTGACGTCATCTTGAGGCTGTGGTTGAAGCCAATGGCGATTTTATTGAATAAATTTAATATAGTATTTCAAGATATTTTTGTGTAATTTTGCTAAATATGTCTGTTAAAATGAGATGTCAGTGTTGTTTTCATTTTTGCGTAATGTAGATGACAATTTATCCATCGCATCTTGTATGTACAAAAATCAGCCATCGAGAATTAGCGACGAGGTAAATAGCAGACTTTTTGTCTTTTTAGAAATAAATGACAAGATTAAGTTAAAATCCTCGGCAGAATATTTATTACACACAAATTCCAACACAAATAAGATCTTCTCCGTAAAGAAAAGTAAATCTTTATATATCCATCATAAACCGAGTTCAAATACAAGTCGAATCCATTAGATAATACTCTTGGGAAAGGTATGAATCCTCTTCTTCTCACCCTAGCTATGGGTAAATAGCAAGACAGACCGCGTTCTATAGCCTTGGATGGCCACGGGTCTACCGTAGAAACAAATGACAAACTACTGCGGTAAAAAATCTGCCTTGTCAGTCATATATCGAAAGATACATGATCGCCTAAGCGTGTATCACGCATAGCACATAAGTGACTGATATAAGTAATTTCCATTTTGTTGAACCAATTGTAATGGCGAATGTATCATCTTAATTCCTCATCATCCGTGGCAGTTAAGAATACATTTGCCGTACACTAACATACAACAAAGTCTAGCGCAAAGGGCGGTAGATTTTCAAGACTAAATCTCCACACCTGACCCCGACAACTGTGCTCCATGGGATCATTTAGGGTTCTTAAAACGAAATGAAACACTAAATACACGATAATACGTCCAGCAGCTGGAACTTGTCCATAAAATGTTTACTTGAAAGCGCGCTATGCAGTAGACGGACATTTTCCCGACAGGCATTTGGCCAACAGAAGGACATTTGGCCGAGAAACATTTGGCCGAAAAGACATTTGGCCGACGGACATTTGCCCAACCGACAAACATTTAACCGAACGGACATTTGGCCGACGGACGGACATTTGGCTGAACGGATATTTGGCTGAACAGATATTTGGCCGAACGGACATTTGGCCGAACGGATATTTGGCCGAACGGGCATTTGGCTGAACGGATATTTGGCCGAACGGATATTTGGCCGAGAGACATTTAGCCGAACGGACATTTGGCCGAACGGATATTTGGCCGAACGGATATTTGACCGAGAGACATTTGGCCGAACGGACATTTGGCCAAAAACGTACTAGTAAAAATAGTAACATGCAATACTTTAAGTATTTTAATTCAGTTAGTTATGTGCCATGCTTGATACACGCTAAGGCGATCATGTATCTTTCGATACATGACTGATGAGGCAGATTTTATTACCGCAGTAGTTTGCCATTTCTTACTGCAGTAGACCAGTTGCCATCCAAGGCTAGAGAACTCGGTCTCTCCTGCTACTTACCCATGGTTGGGGGTGGGGAAGAAGAACAAGATTCATACCTTTCCCAAGGGTATTCGCATGTAAGTGAATGTAATGGATCTGACTGGAATTCGAACTCGGCTCTCCGATTTTCTCAATCGATTTATGCTATTAACAGTATTATAAGGTAGAGTAGGACTAATAATTTCCACTGAATTTCAAGTGATTAAACTACTAAACCTAAATTTAAAGTTAAATTTTTCTTATTTCAATATTTGTTTATTGAAATTAGTATTTTTTTAAATCGGTTAGTAATGAGCGATAATACTTAGGACACGAACAACACATATAAGATTCGCCAGCAGCGCGTAGAAGTAGTAGTCAACTGCTAGAAGTGAGTCAAGTGAATTCCACAATGAATCTCCAACTGCAGGATATCTACCAACGGCCCAACGTGGTCAGATGTGGCACAAGACCGAATTTAACGTGGGGTATCCGAGCCCGTAGACTTGGGCAAAAATTCCTCGTAGACCCCGTAAAAAACGGAGTCGGGTAGCTGTCTACCACCCCAGACGTGACTCTGCCTTTCGGCATAGCTTCGTCTGGGTTCCTCTCTTCCCGAAGGCAGAGAGTTCGACCAGCCCAGCTGGAGACGAATCTCGGACTAAAGGATATTTGCCAACCGCCCCACACGGTCAGATGTGTCACAAGGCCGAATTTAACGTGGGGTATCCGAGCCCGTAGGCTTGGGCAAAAAGAAGGCAGAGAGTTCAACCAACACAGCCGGAGACGAATCCAAGACCAACAAACAGTATTTATTATTGTATTTATGTGAATACGGACATACCTATTATCGTCCATAGGTATGCTACAACAGAAACGCAGAATGAAAATTATATACAAGACGATGAATAAAATGTGGAAGCGTTTCCATAATAGAATTAAGAACACAATGAGTGCGGTGATAATAACAGAAGTGACAGTGAGAGTTTGTGTACTTGACAGCTGTTTGTTTCCCTTCGGTGTTAGCGGTCGGTAGGACAATGCACTTAAATGTCGGGGTGGAATGCTTATTTTAATGGCAAATAGACAGACCTTCTCCCCTTAGAAAATTGTCACAACACAACTTTCATTTGGCTTTTGTGTTGAATTGAAGCTAAACTCTCGCTAACAATAAGAACAAGAATTGACTAAAACAGTGGGAATCTGTGATGACGGCGACGACAAACAGCACAACGATGAGAAGAAAATAAATATTTTCATATAAATGCTGTTCTTGCGCGAAGCAATATAGGCGCGTAACAAGTAGAACGTTAGTTTTCAAACCATGAGTAGCGAGTTCGAACTTAACTAATGTCGATCTGTCATAAAGGTGATTTCTTGATGCTATAGGCCTGGTGAAACGATCCCAGTGTGTATTTTCTTCTTTGAAAACTATATTAACCCTTTTGGGTGAAATTGGGTAAGCGAAACATCAGAAGCCGTCGATGATTGTGCTAGCACAAAGTCACAAGTCATCGTGACTGAGGGTTTGAGCGTACTGGTCTTATTCAGATTGTTGATCACGACTAATTATATATTCTCTTCCAGAAACTGTAACTACGGTCATCTCAGCCTAGTTGCCGTATAAACAAGAGGTTGGCTTTGGGCGTTGAACAAATGCAAGGGGGTGCTCGAGTTTGTAACAGGGATTACCTAAGCAGAGAGGTAGACTCAGATCTGCTTTTGGTTTGTTTTATTTTACGCCACATCAACACTTTAATGGGTTATTCAATGCCGACAAAATTTTTAGGATAGGTTCGTATCAATAAAATATGTATTCTTTGTAAGAAATCAGTTTGTAGATCAGTGTTTGGATTTATTTTTTTTACGGAATATCAACAACTCAATGGGTTATTCAATGCCGACAAGATTTTTATTGCTGCTAATTTTTTTTTTCAAAATACATTGATGGTAATATTTTTTGGGAATTACGTTATTTAATTGAAGTAAGCATTTATTTTGAGTTGCTATATTATTTGTCATCTTATGCAGTGTTTCTTGGTCCTTTCGTTTGCCACTCAATATTTTTGGGGCTGCAATCATGGCATTCTATATTAAATGGCCAAGTCATAATATCGTAAAGGGACAGAACTGGAGGCCAATGCAAGTAGCAGGACATTTTAGTTTCAGCTACCTATTCCACCAGTGTTGTTGGCTTAAGAATATTTTTCCTTACATTTGGAATATCATTTATCTTAT